CACAGAATAATCTGAGCTGGAAAGGACCCACAAGGATCCAGCTCCCATCCCTGCACAGCACCATCCCCAAGAGTCACACCACACACCTGAGGGTATTGTCCAAATGTTTCTGGAGCTCTGCTAGCCTTGGGGCCATGCCCAGTGCCCTGGGGGCCTGTTCCAAGCACCCTCTGGGTGAAGAACCTTTCTCTAATATCCAACCCAACGCTCCCTGACACAACTTCAAGCTGTTCCTTTGGGTCCTGCCACTGGGCACCACAGAGCAGCAATTAGTGTTTGCCCCTCCTCTCCCCCTCACAAGGAAGTTGCAGACTGTGATGAGTCTCCCCTCAATCTCCTGCAAGACCAAGTGCCCTCAGCTGCTCCTCCTTGAGCTTGCCCTCAAGACCCCTCACCATCTTCCTTGCCCTCCTTAGCATGCTCTCTGATAGTCCAAAGTCGTTCTCGTGCTGTGGTGCCCAAAACTGCCCAAGGACTCCAGGTGAGGCCACCCCAGTGCTGAGCAGAGAAGGACAATCCCCTCCCTCACCCAGCTGGTGGTGCTGGGCCTGAACCCCTCCAGGACAAGGCTGTCCCTCCTGCCAGGGCACTGCTGGCTCAAATTCAACCTTCCACCGACCAGGACCCCCAGGTCCCTTTCTGCAGAGCAGTTTTCCAGCACCTCATTCCTTTGTCTGGCTGTACCTCCAGGGCTGACCCATCCCAGGTGCAGAATCCAACATTTTCCCCTGCTGAACTCCATGGTGATGACCCAGTCCTCTAATTTGTCAAGGTCTCTAATCTGCCTACAGATCCCAGCAGATCATCCCATTTTTGTATTGCCTACAAACTTGCTTAATATCCCTCCAATGGAGCCTTCAACGCCACCTCTCCTGCATCCAATTCTTGTGGAAGAGCACGGGGTGGAGGATGGAGCCCTGCAGGACCCCAGAAGTGACAAGCTGCAAGTCTGATGTCACCCAGTCATGCAACCCTTGGTGTCCCACCCGTGATCCAGCCGTGCACATCTTGTGCAGAGGATGCTGTGACAGATGGCATTGAAGGCTCCATCCCCAAGGTCCCTGCCAGGCTAAAAAGAGCTTCTCAGAGGACAAAAAAAGGTGATGGCAAAAAAAATTGATGAGTTTTGGAGATATGAGCTGGAAGAAGAGGTTTAAGTTTGGGTCTGAGGTGAATGAGGTCATGGGAAACTGTAATATTTGTGAATTCTACAAACTTCTGTCCCAAGACCAAAGGTGACATCAGCGCTATTGCTTAAGGATGGGTAGCTGAGAAGAAACACACTCAAAAACTGCCTTGCTCTGCAAAAATTAAACCATTATTCAAGTTTTTCCATTCCAAACAGACACCTTCAGTCCTTCACCAATGTCCTGGTTTCAAGCAGGACAGAGTGAATTTTTACAATGGCTTGGAGGGGCGCTTGACCAGACCCTAATATTATTTGATATCATATTGGTCATGTTGTTGTTGTTGTTGTTGTTGTTGACCAGACCCTAATATTATTTGATATCATATTGATCTTGTTGTTGTTGTTGTTGTTGTTGTTGTTGTTGTTGTTGACCAGACCCTAATATTATTTGATATAATGTTGTTGTTGTTGTTGTTGTTGTTGTTGTATAATTGCTACCATTGCCAGGGGCAAGGGAAAGGGACTCTCTCTCTTCTGAGAAGAAGGGAATTCATTCTCCTGGAGCAAGTATGGAATATAGATCAGTGGGGTGATGCTGGTCCTGACCAGAGGGAGCTCTCTGGGGGCATGGCTGTGGTAGGGTAAAGCTCTGTGCTCTCTTTTGTACCCTTTTATTTGTATTGATGCTGTTACAAATTCATTTTCTTATCTCATTGCTGCTTCTAGTAAATTGTTCTTATCCCAGCCCATCTTTGCCTTTTTTGCCTCCAATCTTTTCTCTACAGGGGGCAGGAGAAGGGAAGCAAGTGAGTTGCATGGAGTTTTGGAGACTTGGGAGGGGGCACTAACTTGGGCAACGCTGTTATTAAATAAAAACAACCAATTTGCCACTGCAAAAACCCACAAAGTGCAAAACAGACCAATGCCAGTGCAAGACCCACCTGCAACCTCAACACTGCCAACAATTGTGGCACAGATGCCACCACAAACCAAGGAGCTTTTGGAAATGTTGCTGCAGTCCATAAACGCCCCATAATCAATACTGCAATTTTCCATATTTTTAGATATTGTTTCAATTTAATGCCCTCCTGGGGTGTTTGTTTCGGAACTCAGATCTCACAGGTTTTATGTACATCTCCCAAAACCTCCATGAGCAGCACCAGGCAAACACAGATACCTGCTTTTTGGTGGATTTGCTGAAAACAGCAGAGTGAAAACTGCAGGAACACAGGTGAGGTGTCAGTGTAGCATGCAAAGACTTCCCTGACTGGGAAAGTCAGGAAACATCAACACCACAGTACACCAAATAAAATCCTCCCTTAAACCTGCCTCATTTCTATATCCTTCTATCACACTTGGAAATTTGAGAGGGGGAAAAGCTCCCTCTGGAGCCCAATAAGGCAGATAAGTCAGAGTTCTTGACTACTGAGTTTTCATTTCACATCCCTCTTTTGCAGAATTTCCTACGTAAAATGTTAAATTCCCTATGAAAAATGACTCTGCTGACCAGCAAACAAAAATAAGGTTTTCCTTGAGGCATGTCAGGCTTTCTGGTACCTATAGGGAGTTGTCCCTATCCAAACCCTGAGCCAAGGCACTAAAGATTGAGATGGGAACACCTTGATTAATCACCACAATTGAAACATTTTTCATTTGCCCATTTGAAAGCAATTTTTTGGCCGTATTTCCAGCCTCAGTGATGAAAGAGAAGTTTGACATATGACACGGTGATTTATAGGGAGTTACAATGGGCTTCAAACTCCTTTAGTAATGCTTAATAAGACTGTCTTTTCCATTTACTCCAAATGGGAGTAAATCTCAGCCTGGTCTGAACTCAACACGATGAAGAAATTGGGATCAGAAAAGGACTGGAAAGTGTTCATGGTGTGAGACAGATGTGTTAAATTTTTTTCACAACATTTTGCACAATGACAAAAGGTATGGCCTGGCCTCAGAGGTGCATCCTGTGGTCACAGGGGCTTCAGGAGGAGGAAAGCTGAAATAGTTTGGTGCCTGGAAACTGCAGGGACTAACACACAGTGGAGAAAGCCAAGGGAAACCAAGCTGTTTATCTGAAGCCTTCAGGGAATTTCTATCATTAACCACTTAGAGTGATGCCAGCCCAGCATTCCAGAAGGTAATTAAATGGACACCCACCACCACCACATCTTTCTGTGCCTTTCAAGGAAGGTGTCTGGCACAATTTTCTGAGAAGTTTGGGTTTGGTCTCCTTGCTGGAGATGCTTCCAGACCAGGCTGCACCTTGTGTCCTCCACAGACACGGCTCCTCCAAAGAGAACAACCCAACACACACCAAATACATGGCAGGGCACCGAGTACTTTTAATGCCTTGAGATTTTACCTTTATATTTTCCAAATCCTGTGCTGCATTAGTGCACAGCTCTAAACTCCACATGAGGTGTCAGCTCCTGTCTTCACATCTTGATCAGACAAAACAATTCCTCTGGGCCTGGAACCCAAGGACACCCAACAGCCTCAGGTCCCAAAAATTATAAATAAAGTGAATTGGGGAGGAGCAAACTGGGGGAATGTGACTTCACTGCCTGAAGCTGTAATTGGGGAATTAACCCCTGATATGGAAGTGGAGCAAGCTGAAATCCGTGTGAAAAACTCGTGAGCACTGTCCATGCTGGGTGCAGCCTCTGGGAGGCTCTGAGTGCCCAAGGTGTGTCTGTTAAAGGCCTTCAGAAATTCCCACTTTATTCTCTTAGCCTCTGTTCTAGGCAGCCACTCCAAGGCATCACTTTCACTCACTTTGAAATACAAATTGGAAGGAGAGCATCAAGCAGGAAAACTCCCCCCAAAAAGTGATTGTGGTGACCCCACAATGACTCACCAGAAGTCACTCACCAGAAAAGTAATTTCAACATGAACCTAACCCTTTACCTTTATCAGAAAGGGATGAAATCAGGCTAAGGAAATATTCATCACTTCCTTCATGGTGTGTTTTTTGTTTTGGCTGAAGCAGGGTCACCAGAAAAAATCAAAGGGCAGCCTAGGGGAAAGAATCCTCCCCCTACTGGTTCTTCCTACTAAAAGGGACTTTCAGAGGAGGCAAAACTCAAAGAAAAGACTCAAAGAAAAGATGTTCTGCTGGGCCATGGACCAAATGAAGGGTTTGTGTTTTTCTTTGAGAAGCCCCCACCTAAATATCACCAGTGAAACCAGTCACTTTTGTGGGATATTCACACAAATTGAAGGGGCCAGTCCCATTTTCAGTGACCAAATATTTCTCTTTGCTCCTACAGGAGGGAAGTTGCAGCCAGCAGGGTTTTATTTTCTGTGTCACCTGCCTGGTGCCCTGGTTTTGGCATGGATCAAGTACATTTGTCACTCTGTCAAGCCCTAATTTTAGTGATCAGGGTTGACTAAAGGCCTGTGAAACCCTTGGTTTCATGTATATCTTATTTTAAGCTCTGCATTTCATTTATTTTTAGTTGGTGACCATTTCTTTGCACTCTACTGCTGGCTGTGCCAAAATTTTGCAGTGATAACAACCTATATTTCAGAGTATTTTCACAAACATATATCTGTGTTTTCCTCCAAGCTGCTTATGCCTTGTAGGGCTCTTAACAATATGTTATCTACACTTAAGCTTTAAAACAAGACTCCCTGCACAGATTGATTTCTTTAAAAACAAAAAAAAAAAAGTGTAATTCTGCTCTGAAATACTCACTACATTTAGGGAAGGGTTGGTAGAATTTAAATTATATTAACAGAAAACAGCAGAATTTCCTCCAAATAAAGCCACACCAAGGTCATGACTCACCACATCCTGCTCAATTAATGCACATAATTGCACAATTAATACATATAATTGCTTAAATAATATAAAGCAAAGCAGCCTTACTGTTAGGGGGTGCTCAGGGAGCCACTGCCCTGGAAGTGTCCTCCCACTGCCCTGAAAAATGGGTAGGGATCACAACCTGGGAAAGCAAAAATGAAATATTTGAATATTGACAGAAATTATAAAATAAGAAAGTGAAATATTAAGCAGAGGATGAAAGTCTGCACTAGGAAAGGTATTCTGGCAGTGTCAGTGAAGCCATGGATGGCAAGTTTTTTCTGGAGGATGAGGGAGAAAATAGAACTCAAGGAAAACATAGATGGGAATATCCCCTGGAGATGAAAGCAGGACTGATGTCTGAGCAAGGTCAGGGATTTTCCCCATCAGGTTTGAACATCTCCAAAAAAGGACAAAAAACTCAGATTTTTAGAGGTCGAACCGAGATATGTCCAGTAATGAAGGAGTGCTTCTTGCTGGTCTGTGCTCAGAGGATGGAGCTGTCCTGTCCTGTCCTTTCCCACTCCTGGTGGGTGCTGAAAGCTCCTCACAGGATCACACTGAGGGTTGCTGCTACAATCCAGGTCTGGAAAGGAGAAAAAGAGGAAAAAAAAGGAATGAAACAGCACTGATGTTGGCTGTGCCCGCATTTCATGCTGGTAGCTGGCATTTCCCTGGATAATTATAATATTTCCTTGAGTGTAAATGTGTTTTTATACTTGGGTTCAGACCGAGTGAACTGGGGATCAGCCACTACTCCAAAATGGGAGAGATCCCAGCCACTATTGAACCAGGAAAAGTCCACCCACGTGGACTTCTTTTTTTTGGCTAGGGGTGATTTTGCAGCTGCCAAGAATCTTCGTGGGATTGGGGTTTCTGGGCCCACCTCAGCAGTGGAAAAACAAAGGTGGGCTGAGCAAGGACCAGCACAGCCACTGACACAGGGGTGTTTTGTGTTTGACTGCAAAAAAAAAAAAGGAATACAGGAGATAAAATTCACCAGATCTCTCTTTCAGTGAGCCCCTCAGACCTTCAACACCCACCCGATGAATGTCAATATGCATCACCTCCAGATATTACCTCTATAAACATCACCTGAGATCTCTAATATATGTCAGATGCATCTACCTTGATAAATATCTCCTGGTAAAGAGCTCCTCAGACCTCCAATATAAATCCTTTATATTATATATATATCTATATATATTTATATATATATATAGTCCAATATATGTCCCTTGATACACATAAGCTCTGCCAAGCTCCTCTCAAGCCTACCCCTGGTAGAAACCCGCTCCTCACCAAAGCACAGCTGACATGAACATCTCTGACAAACAGCACCTGGCTGGAGCCCCTCAGATCTGTTACACATCCAGCAGGATCTTCAGGGAGCTCCTCAGAGCTCTGACAGATGTGCCACCTCCAGAGAGCCCCTCGGATTTCAATACACATCCAAAACACCCACCCTGATACACATAACCCGTTCAGAGCTCCTCAGACTGCTGGTAAACGTCTAATATAAACAAATGTATGGACACCTCCAGGTCTGAACTGCTGGTTTGAATGTACATCTGAGAGATGCCACCACCACCTCCAAAGAGCTCCTCAGCTGCTCAAAATGCACCTGAAATACCTCCCAACATGCACAGAACCTCCAAAGATCTCCTCAGATGCCCAGAATACACCTGAGATTTCTCCCAGCCTGCACAGACCCATCCTCAGATGCCCAAAATGGCCCTGAGATGCCTCCCAACCTGCAGAGAACCTCCAAAGAGCTCCTCAGATGCCCAAAATACACCCGAGATTCCTCCTAACCTGCAAAGAACCTCCAAAGAGCTCCTCGGATGCCCAAAATACACCCAAGATTCCTCCTAACCTGCAAAGAACCTCCAAAGAGCTCCTCAGATGCCCTAAACACACCCGAGATACCTCCAGCCTGCACAGAACCTCCAAAGAGCTCCTCAGATGCCCAAAATGCACCTGAGATTCCTCCCAACCTGCACAGAACCTCCAAAGAGCTCCTCAGATGCCCACCACACACCCCAGGGAAGCATCTCTGCTACTCATCACCAGCACAGAGCCAGGTCTGGTGTGGTGGGGCCAGACAGGAGATCCATGAGAGCTGTTTCCCCTGGTGTTAACCCCATCCCAAACCCCTGGCAATAACAACAGGAGCAGTTTTGTGCCTTCGGGGCAGGTGTCCATCATCTCCCCCAGGAACAGGGATCCAAAGGAGCTACATGGAGAAATTTGCATTTCTGGAAACCTGGCCTATGGTCAGTGCCCAAGGAGAGATCTGGAAACACCTGGGTCATTTCAGGGCAAAACACAGCAGAAACCTCCAAATGTGGAAAATTTGGTGGAAGAGACAAAAGGTCAAGGTGCCTCTTGACTTCTCATGCCAGCGTAGGCCCTGCCAAGTGATGTGGGAACCTATTCTGCTCAGAAAGGCCTGAGTCCAAAACTCTTTCACCACAACAGCAGGTGAAATATTAAGATTATTTATGGTTAATAATTAATGCTCGTGCCTTGGAAGAGCATGAATGAGCTGATGCCAAATACATAGATTTGATTTTCATTTGATTTGTCCTGACATCACGATGGAAAAACTCACGTTTTGCACCAGACCTTCACCCTATAAAGACTTTTTTCTACCCCACAGGAAAGATTTTTGTCATCTGGGCTTGCTGTGTGAACAAAGCATGAGGAAAAGGAGCAGAAATAAGGCTCTGTCGGTGTTAAAAGAGCTCTGACAGACCCATAGAATGATTTTCATCCTTGGAGGTGGCCAGGCCTGAGGCCTTGGGTGCTGCATGCATTTAGGACAAAACCATTGTGCAACTTCTGCAGAAATTATGCCATTTTTGTCCCCATCACCAGGAACACAAAGAGCCAACCCCACCAGGGACATCTCCCTGAACACCCTTGCAGAAGGAGAGAAGTCTTTTTGAGCTGGCACACACTTTTAGCAACTTCAAAAGGCGTCCTTTGAAGTTTTGCAAAGGCCTTTGAAGTCCTCCCGGTGCGAAAGGGAACGGAGGAGATGCCTCCTTCAGGATTCTCCACCACAGGCGATGTGAGGCAGCAAATCCACGGCGTCCCAGGTGCTCGTGGTTGTGTTCAGCAGCTGCCCCAGGGCCAGAAACGAGACACCATTTCTGACAAGTCATCAATGCCCACAAATTCCCTAAATCCTGATCTGCTGGCCTGAACAGCATCCAGCAGCAGAGATGGGAGCCCAGTATCCTGGGCCAGCAGCCTCTACCCCGGCTGCAAGGAGCCAAGGGCATCCCTGTTAACGAGTTTTAATGAAGTGTAAGGGAATGCTAATAAAGCTGACATTTAGCAAGAGAAAATTCAGGATTTTTGTGGAAAGAGTAGGATTTTGAAGCAAGAAGGCTTTTCCCAAGCACGTCATTTTGTTTCTTCCAATGTGAGCAGGCCGTGGTGCTTCCAGCCTCATCACGTCAATGCTGTTTAATTGTGATTATCATGTTTTAATAAATTTAATGCCAGCTCCGCTGACTTAGAAGGAAACCACAAATGGTGAAATCCCCAGTAATGCTGGGTTTTGTTGAATTATTTTCATACCTCGCACTATGCCCAGAAGCAAGCTCTACTGGCCCCAAACTCCAAACCCATGGGGACAACCAAAGAAATGTGTGAAAAACAGTGCAAATGCAGAAATCAAAGCTCAAGTTTCAGTTAACTCTTTAAGGAGCTCCAAGGGATAATCACGACTCTTCAAATACCTTGGCAACACCTGCTGCCATCTGCCAGGAGGACTTTTGTGATAAAAGCCTTTGGTGTGTTGGTCTTTTCCCCACACAGTGCAATTTCTGTAGCATCTCCAGCCTCTGGATAAGGGTTGGGGTCAGGTTTTGGGGATGCTCAATGGGGCAAAGAAGAATATAACATTATCATTTCAGAAGTTAAACTGGTGATGTACAAACCCCACCCTTTCTCAGAGAAAGATTTGAGACATGCCCAAATATTTTTGTATTTCTGCAAAAGCAAAGCTGCTTTGAGGCAAAACACGGCTGGGAGAGACGTATCTGTTGGCAGAGCCCTGCTGTAGGGGGCTCACATTAATCCAAAGGGGGCATGCAGAGAAATATCGGACATCCCCACCCCAGACATGTGCATGTGAACACATCTGGATCCAGGGAACAAAAGCAGCCTCTCTCCACTGTGCTGATAAATAATGGAAAGGCAAAGTGCCCTGCAGAAGCAGCACCATACTGTTCGGCCTCGGGCGAGACAGAGGAAAATTCGGTACCCATGAGGTCTGGAACAGTGGGATTAATAACACATCAATTTTAATGCAGGGTGGCTTGTGAGGTTTTTTCCCTTTTTCCTTTTTTTTTTTTTTTTCCCTGCTTCACAAACAGCAAAGTGAATGTTTGAGCATCTCAGTGGGGGGTTAATGAGGACTCTGATTAGTTATTCAGATTTGCCGATGCTGCCTACATCCATCCTCGGATGGGGGAGTAGCAGGAAAGGGTTTGCAGAAAAAGCTCTTAAAGATGACCTGCTTGGCTTTCACAGCTCAGGGGGATGGAGGCTTTGGGGGGTTCACATTACAGGGGTCCTCAACCCCAAAATCCTAGTGCCAACTTTGAGATGGAAAAGTTTATTTTCCCATCATTTGTAGCGGATGCTAAAAGCTGCTGCACGTTCAGTCATGCCAAGTCCTGTAAAGTTTCAGAGGAAAACATTTGGATTTGTGGGATTTTCTTTCACTTGAGAAAAAAAAAAAATCTTGGATGCCCTTAATAATATTTGTGTGCAGTTCTGATCAGAACTATAAGACCAAAAATTATGGAGGGACAGATGCAAGGACGCATGGATTCATGGATGCAAAGATGCATGGATGAACACACATGGTGAAAAGACACATGGATACATGGAGGTAAGGGTGGAAGAAAGGATGGATCACCCCATAAGCCACCACTGGGCTGCAAAAATGCAACAACTGCTGCAGTATTTCCTACAGCATCCCATAAAAGTGGTTTATGTCCTTGCAAAAAAAGCAATGAGCTCACCTCCTTGCTCCTTGACCCAGGGATATTTTAAGCAGGTTGAGCTCACATCAGTATTTTAAGAAGGTTGAACTCCTGTAATTTGGGGGTTTCTTTCCAGATTTAGGCTTTTGCTCTTCACCTGCATCAAAAATCAAAAGGGAACCTGAGAAAATAAGTGGCAGGTGCCCAAAATGATGTCATAAAAGGCCTGAAGGATGGAGCCAGGGGGTGTTTCATGGCATTGCAAAGGGGCCAATTAAAAAATTCAGGCATTATTTTAGGATTCACTCTAGGATTTGTTATTTCTTCGTGAAGAAGAAATATTTGAAGGATGAGCAGGAGGGTGAAGGCACTGTCTCAGTGGTAAATTCATCCCAACAATGAATGTCAACGCTGGATTTCTTTGTGGGTCTAGAGACCCAGCTGGGTCTTGCTTTGAGTGCCAGTGTATCACTCAACCTAACATCCAACAGGGGGTTTGAGGACCTAAACTCTCTGGTATTTGTGTCATTTCCCACAACACCTGCCAGGATCTAAGGGGAAAGACAAACTAGTTATCCTTGGGATTTCACATTGAGACACTCCATCCCAAATAGGCTCTTTTCCCAAGGACTGCCTCCATATGCTTTGTCTGGGTTTTAAACGGTGTGTTAATTGTTCTGAATTAACAGCTCCAGCTGGGGAAGCAAACAAGCAATTTGCAAACTTAAGATAACACCCAACTTATCTCAAGTGATTTAAATGGGGATTTTTTTTTTTTTTTTAGTTGGTTGGTTCAGGAGAGGTGGGGTTAGTGGGTTTTTTGGGGTTTTGGGGTTGGCTTTTTTTGAGGGGATATAATGCCTTTCTGGTTGTGAATACACTGTCCAGAGCTAAAATCACTTAGTGCACCCAATCCATCAGGAGTGGCCATTGGCACATGGTCACAGGAGGAGATGGGATTGTAGAACAAAGAGAAAAGATGAAAAATCTCTGCATTTCACTTTGCTTTAGAGACAGGAAAGATCTAATATACCCTCATCACTTCTAGGCAAACCACTGTCTGCAGAAGAGCTAAGGATTATTTTCTCCCCAACACCTTTTATTTTGTATTACACAGAATCAGGGAATCCCAGAATGGTTTGGGTTGGAAGGGACCTTAAAACTCATTTTGTTCCAACTCCCTGCCACAGGCAGGGACACCTTCCACTACCCCAAACTGGTCTAAATCCCAGTCCAGCCTGGCCTTGGACATTTCCAGGGATGGGACAACCTGTGCCAGGGCCTCACCATTCTCACAGGGAAGAATTTCCACTTACAGCTTGTTTCACAGTATTCAAGCTCTCAAAAAAACCCCAAAAAAACCCAATAGTAAACTCGTTCAAGCTTTATGCCTTTGTCCTCTTTCATCTTTTTCCCTTTTGTTTTTTTTTTTTCATCTGCTGCTATATAAAGGAAGGGAGAAGGAAAGACCATGCTGGTTATTTGTTTACAAGACTGGATCTTAATTTTTAAAAATTGTCACTTCAGCAATTTGAATTCTTTCTAATCTCACTCAGGGTGTGGGATTCAAGGAGGAAAGTCCACCCCTCTCCCCACCCTTCCATGACCAAATTTTAAGAGGAGTCAGCAGTGCTGGCAGTGAAACAGATGCCACAAGAAAAGTTTTCTGTGATTATGACCAAGTGTCTGTTGCCAGACTGAGTGGAAACTCCTCTTGCTTGTCCTGGTTCCAGCCAGGAGAGGGTTAATTTCTGCAGTGGCTGGGAGGGGGCATGGCCAGGACTTGGTTATTCTATACCACTTCACATCATTTTTTGGGGGGAGGGGCAGGAAAGGGACTCCCTTCCCAGCCAGAGCAGCTCTACCTTAAGGTGAGTATTTCTGTATGTGAATCACTCTCTTGTGGTACCATTTTGTTATTAATGTTGTTGCTCTGTTTGTTTCCTCATTCCAGTTTCCAGCTAATTGTTCTTATCTCAACCCATCTTTTTGATGATGATCTTTTCCTTTCATGCCTTTAATTCTCTTCTCCAGGAGGAGAAGGGGAGGGAAAAGGGGATCCAGTGAGTGGCAGCATGGTTTGCAAAGTCTCAGTAGAAGCACTAAAATGGAGGGACCATTCCTAAATCATGACTCTACCCCAACCAAGACTGAGCTGGGAGTCAACATCCATCAACCCCCAAAAGTTTTGCAAGATTGGCTCCTATCAGATGACTGGGCTTGTGATGGGGTCATTCTGCTGAAGTTGGAACACTTTGTCTCCATTCTGTCTCCTTTTCCCAGAGGAAAAAAGGTCTAACAGTGCCCTGAAGACACGAAGAAGAGTCATTACCATGCAATGATCCATCCTTCTCCAACAACAGGAGGCACCTCCAAAACACAGACCCAACTCTGGGGCCCTGGGACTCCTTGCAGCCTCGGATGCCCAGATCCCCAGTGCCAAGCTGTGCTACCTGACGACCTCCTGGCACATGGATAAAGCAACAGGAGAAGCGATAAATCACTTTGGCACCTTCCCTGGGCATGGCAGCCCTTGATAAAAAACCAAAACTCAGGGGAGGGAGTCTGACACCACGCCATTCCCAGCGCATCCTGTTGCGCAGATTAATCCTTCTTGATGGAGAATTACAATTAGGGCTTCGTCTTAAGGAGATATCAGCAATCAGATATCTTATCAAATGCCACCTCAATTATTCAAATAATCCCTGGCTCTTAGATTTAGGTGCTGTTTAGGGAAAGCAGTCCGATTAATGTGGTGACACTTCCCCATCACGTCCGACATCCTCAACTTCATGTCTGATTACGGAATTTGCATTCAATTTAATTTTTTCCATCTGGAGTAAATGAATAATCCGAGTACCTACCCCAGCCTTAATTACATTTGTTAAATTAAAAACCTGGGATGTGAGAAATTTAAATGCATGTAGCTCCATGGCCAGACAAACCTGCATGTTCAACCTGCCGCAGCCCTGCCAGCTCCTGCTCCAATTTCTCTTCCTTCCCCACAGCCAGGCATCAAGGAAATTACAACTAGAAAACAAAAATTCTTTCTAAACGATGAAACAATAGATGATCTTTTGACATTTCCAGCGCTGTTTGCAAGGGAATGAGATAAAATGTAATAAATTCATATACTTCTGTGTGTTTCTTGGCTCCAGCAGCTAAAATTTCCATCTCTTTATGCAGGAGTCCTGGGGAGCAGAAATCCTTGATAATGCCAAACAATTCGACACTTTATTTTCTCTTTACTCCACACCATGCAAAACACAGGCTTCAAGCTGCCAGCTGCTGGGAGTGAAACCAGATGCCACATCCCTTTTCCATATGGAAACTGAAATCGCCCCGTCTGGGGGGCCCGTGTGCTCCCCTCAGTCCCAGCCCTCCGTGACCCCAGGCCTGCTACTGGCACACAGCAAAGGCTCCCTCCAACTGCAAAAGAAACCACTATTTCAATGGTGCAATTGTCATTTTCTACACTCAGCCTGGCTCAGGCCAGATTCTGGTAGCATCAGAGCCAGAGGACATCAAAAAAGATTCACCCCAAGCCACCACATATTCCTAATTTTAAAATAAAGAAGTAAACAGGGAAGTGTGAGTAAAACTACTGAACTTGATAAATGTTTCAAAATAAACTCAGCAGAACTTGCTAAGTGTCCCTTCTTTTAGAGATGATGGAATTTGAAAGGATGGAATTAATAGGTGGACACAAAGTGTTGATAAGAAAAATGTTGAAATAATTAAAGACTAATTAAACATTAAATGGAAAATAAAGCATTACCAGCACAGACCACTTTAGGAGGAATACTTCACAGGTTAATTGGAAATGGGAAATGTCAAATAAATAAATTTGGATGTTGATCTAGATGTCAGCAGCAATGAAAATGTCGAGGAAAGTCTTTTCTCAACACTCACAAAGACTGAATTAAACAATTTACATGTGAGTGAGGGCAATGACAGCAATCCCCCAGTTTGAGATTTGTGAGACCAGTAATAAAATATGGTTAAAAATATTCAGGGGAAGCCACACTCGGGTAAAGTGAGACAGGTGAGAGCAGAATCAAAAATAGTTTTCCCTTTCCTCTCAGCATGCTTGCAGCTCACACAACACTTCTGCACTCCCAGGAAGCTGGATTTGACTCCCCAGCCCAAAAAAATCCCTTCAGAGGGGTGTGCCAGAGCATCCCCCAGGCACAGTGGCCATCAGAGCAGGCAACTGAGATGCAGACTAATGGACCTGTGGTTCCTCGTCCTTCCTGACTTTCTTCTGCTTTGTTTGGAGTTAAAAGTTACAGTTCCGGAGAAGAAAACATCATGTTTTAGCAATGAGGCCCCCAGCGAGGCTGTTTAAAAATTAATTAGTGCCATGCAACATATTAGCGATGAACAGTAATTTTAGCTTTTGTACCTACTTCGTTGCCTTCTACATGGTTGTTATTCCAGCTTTTCCATGGTCCTCCCAGCCAACCAGGACCTACACAGAGCATACCAAGGGAATTATTGGCTCCTGGAAATACCCAATTCAACAGCAAACACACCCCGCAGCGTGATCTCTCTGAAGCTTTTAAATAAATTAGGGTCATTTTGCTGGGCTGGCTGGAGGGTTGGGAACCTGCTCTGCCCACAGAGGTGCCCACATCCCAAAAGAGCGGCTGACCCAGGTGTGAGCCTGTCCACGGGCAGACCCTGAGCAACGTGGGTGTTGTGCTGTGGTGTGGAGGAGGTTGTGGGTCGTGGCTTCCGCCAGGATGGAGGACAGAGGTCCTCCCTCCATGGGCAGACATGGGTGGGATCACCCAGACCTGACGATGGAGAACCTTCAAGGATGGAGATCTGCCAACCCCAGATGTATCTGCCAGCCCCAAAGTTGAAGATTTTACTCCAAGCCCATGGAAGAAGACCCTCATATCCCAAAAATGGAGATAGGCTCCCAGCTCTGAAGGTGAAGATGCTCAGGGATGGAGCTCCACAAAACACAAGGAAGAATCTACCAAACCCCAAGGCTGGGAATTCCCCCAGTCACAAGGAAAGGGATCTCTCAAGCCTGCAGATCTCCAAAACCCAAGGATGGAGACTCACAGACTTCAAGGATTGAGTTCCTAACCCTGAGTATGGGGATCCACCAACCCTGATGGAGTCTCAAAACCCAAGGACTCTCATAACCCTGAGGACAGAGATTCTGCAGACTCCTAGGATGGAGAGAGAAATCCCCTCCAGGACAAAGACCCCCAAACCTAAGGATGCAAACCCCATCTCGCCCAGTCCCATGGAGGGCAATCACCCCCTGGGACATCAATGGCTGAAATCTTCACCCCACACTGCATGGAGCAGAACCTGAGGTCATCACTCTGGTCTGGTAATGGCCCCCTCCCAAAACACAACCCCAAACGAGCCATCACCATGCTCCTTTTGGCAGTGAGCGAGGCAGCAGGGACCAAGGAACCTCGCTGCGTGCACTGCCTTCAGGTGGATTGTGGAGCTGAGGGGAAATTTGCTGGGACATCTGGAATATATTCATTTTATGGCATGTTTCATATCACAGACAGGTACTTTGAAGCAGTTAAGTAGTAGCAGGGCAGCACGTCCCCATGGGTGGGCTGCGGTTTGTGCTTTCAGCCCGAGCCGCACCGGCATGACAAAGGGGCTGGGGAGACAGAGCTGACGTTTTCCAAACACAGCTTTGTGCCTCTGGGGGCAAATCCAGCAAGAAATTAAAACCCAAAAAAAAAAAAAAAAAAAAAAAAAAAAAAAAAAAAAAAAAAAAAAAAAAAAAGAAAAAAAAAAGAAAGAAAACAACCCCCACGTCTAAGTGCTGTTGATCCCCACATCAGCCTATTAACAGACCCATCACAAATTGTAAATGACTCAGATAAATTAAATGGCTTAGCAACTGTGAGGAAAGGCCCTTCTGAAGATTCATTTGTTTTGCGGAAAAGAAATTATTCGGGAATTTAAAATCTTTTCCAGCAGCTTGACACAGGCACCCTGTCAAGCCCACATGTTGTTGCTCACACAGCCCTGGGAGCCAGTCAGCCCTGAAAGGAGAAGTGAGAGAATCAGAGAATCCCAGAATAGTTTGGGATGGAAGGGACCTTCAAGGTTCTTCCAATTTCCTGTGACTGCCAAAGACCCCTTCCACTCTCCCAGGGTGCTCCAAGCTCCATCCAGCCTGGCCTTGGACACTTCCAGGGATGGGGCAGCCTGGTGCTCTGTGCCAGGGCCTCACCACCCTCACAGGGAACAATTTCTTCTGATATCTAAACCTCCCCTCTTTCATTAAAGTGCTCTGTGAGCCCCCAGAAGCAGGGGGGTACAGGAATGCTCCCGCAGTCGAGCCACTAACGAGGCTGCACCTCCTCCTAGAAAAAACTATTAAACGCCTCAGCCAATGAGGAGGTCTGAAAATGGGATGATTTGACCCAAAACATCTCCATGCAGAAGGAAATCTGCCAATTGAGCTGCAATTGAAAAAGAAAAGGGGAGACAGTAACACAGAGCAAGAAGTTAGGGTTGCAACCCTGAGTGCAGTGAGGTGCAGCGATGCCAAAACCTGCAGTGATCCCCTGTGCCCAGTGAGCTGCAGTGATTCACCCCCCAAAGCAGGGAGCCACTGCTTTCCTCCTGGGCTAATTCATGAAATTCATGCATCAAACCTACCTGACTTCAGAGGCAAAGCCCAACTCCCCATTCACAGCCCTTTTAGCTCATGCAAAATTCAGGGGTTGTTCACCTTCAGACGCTATTTCGCCAGCAGCAGCAACTCAAAACCCCTTTTAGTGGAAGTTCAGAGGTATAAAAGATGCAAAGCACCCCTAAATTATTCACATGGAGTTTCAATCAGAGCCGCACTATGGGGTAAAGGGAAGGATCTGGTGACCCTGGGGGTGTCTCCCCATCTCTGTCTGGATGGGTAAACCCTTCTTGTATTTACTGGGGAGAAGTGAATGGAGGAGACAATAAAATAAAAGGATTTTCCGTATCCAGAAAGGGCTGGAGAGAGAAGAATGCAAGGAGTATCCATTTTTCAGGTGCATCCAACCAGAGAATCCTGGCTGCATTTGCCCTTTGGCAACACTGAAGCTTTTCCAAAATTTTATAGCACCAGAGGAGTAAAGAAAAGAAAAAAAAAGCAAATAAATAGGAAACTCAATAATTATTATTTTGTATTTCAAAAACATGAGGTTTTCAAAAAAGGAAAAGCCTTGGAAGAGATTTTTTTCTTCCATTTTTTTCCTCTCTGTTTTGTTTCTTTCTCTTTCATTGAGCATCCAAGTGCTTCTGAGTTGGGATTTCCATTTCCAACACTTCTGGCTTTTTCTTGGGGCAAAACCCCAACAGCCCAGTACAAAAAAAAACCCAAAAAACCAAGCGCAATCCCAGAAGTAGGACACAGAGCCCTGCTCAATCCAACCTCAGCTTGAGGCTCACTAATTACCCGGTAACAGTATTTATATGCTGCCAGCACACTCGGAAATGCAGCTCCTAATAACTGAGGTCAGCATCAATATTAATGTCCTGCCTTGACTCTCCATATGTGGGGACCAACGAGAGACAAAAAAAAAAAACCATCAGAGCAAAGTGAAAAAAGGAGTAGAAAATTAATTTTAGAAGTATTTTTCTGTCTTTGGGCAGGAAGGGAGTGCTTGAGTTTAAATGAGGGGAGCAGCAATAAAGCAAATGTAAGTTCACATCTCTGAGGCATAAATCTTCCAGCAGTGAAACATTTTTCACCATCTGTACACGCCCTTCCTCAAACTTTGAGTTTCCCCACAGGTAGGAACAGGCCAAAAAAAAATCTCTTCCTGTGATGGGAATCGATTTCTAAAACTCAGGGCCTTCCCCTGACCAGAGTTACTCTAAGACATTTGGCTTCAAATATTCACCCCTGCAAAATTCAGTTCTCTTTTGGTTGCTCATGCAAAACCTCAGGCCTTGGGTAGGTTCAGCTGGAAACAACCTCACTTCTTTTCCAGTGATAGTTTGGGAGCATATCCCCCCAGATCCAATATTATATTGCATGAAAATGTGCACAGAATATTTGCAGAAATGTGGTTACACAGGGCTCAGTGTGGGTTGCATACATGTCCCAGCACCACTCCATAATTCAATTAAAACTGTCTTTTCTTAATAATTTCTACACAGAGCCACTTGTCACACCAGGAGCATTAAGGCAGAGTTTAAATGGAGTTAATAAAGTATTAATAGCCTGCAGTAAGGCTGTGATGGATTTGAGCTGCATGTGATCAGTACCCCTTGGTACAAGTTGTTACTGCCAATGTCCGTGCTCAGTGCACATCGAAAAAATCAGAGGTCTTCCATTAAAAATGCAGCTCCAGACAATCAGGGGTTTCTCACGGAAAGATGCAGGTTTTGGGGATTTTTCTCACCAAAATGAAAGCTGGCAGTTGAAGAGCAAGCATGGATGTGGCATTTACTCTGTGGGACATCAGGTGTGGCGTCAACCCACAGCATTGACACACTAATTCATAAAATCAGAGGTCTTCCATTAAAAACGCAGCTCCAGACAATCAGAGGTTTCTCATGGAAAGATGCAGGTTTTGGGGATTTTTCCCACC